GACTTTACGTTGCTTCTACAGCACTTGTGCTGGCGTGTTTGTAATCAAGCGCATGCTTGCATTTTATTTTCTTTTGTTTCTTTGCTTCTTTCTTATTTTTATACTAATTACAGTTTATTCACTTTGTATCACAGCTGTAGCTCCCTTCCTCCTCCCCTCCCAATCCCACCTTCCTTCCCTCATCTCCTCTCATGCCCCTCTCCAAGTTTACTGATAGGGAAGGTCCAACTCCCCTTCCCTCTGACCCTAGCTTATCAAGTCTCATCAGAACTGGCTGCAATGTCCTCCTCTGTGGCCTGGTAAGGCTGCTCCCCTCTCGGAGGGGGGGAGGGGTGTCAAAGAACCAGCCTCTGAGTTCATGTCAGAGACAGTCCTTGTTCCCATTACTAGGGAAATCACATGGAGACTGAGCTGCCATGGGCTACATCTGAGCAGAGGTTCTAGGTTATATCCATGAACGGTCCTTGGTTGGAGTATGAGTCTCAGAAAAGACCTCTGGGCCCAGATATTTTTGTTCTGTTGCTCTCCTTGTGGAGCTCCTGTCCCCTCCAGGTCTTACTATCTCCCCCTTTTTAATAAAATTCCCTGCACTCTGCCCAAAGTTTGGCTATGAGTCTCAGCATCTGCTTTGATACACTTCTGGGTAGAGTCTTTCAGAGGCCCTCAGTCACTCAGAAAGACAAACGGGATGGACATTGGAAGAAGACATTTAATTTTCTTAAAGTTGAAAATTAAAAGCTGTTGAGTCTCCAGGAGCTGCTTTCCAGTACTTTCTAGAGAAACAACTGAGACTAGAGGATGAGGATGTGGAAAGAACCGGGTGAGAGGGGAGATGTCCTGATCTAGAGCGGTGAGGGCTGCAGTAGGTGTGTGCACAGGAGGACGTGCATACGAGAGGAGAAATGAAATATGATAGAACGGAAACTACAAGAGAAATTTCAATAAACCAGTTTTGATGCTACTTAGAGATCAATGAAGGGAGATATGGTATCAGCCCACGCCCAGGAGAAAGAAGACAGTGGAGCCCTCACAACAGGAGCAGGACACCTTTGTTTCAGATAGAGGCTGTAGAGTATTCCCTTGATGCTTATGACAGTTTCTAGGACACTGTCTTTAGTCATGGGGCTCCTGAACAAAGCCAAGTGGGCCTGAAGGTGTTCAGAAATCAAAGGCAGTTTAAAGGGTTAGGTATGCAGAAGTACCCGGCAAGGGGGAATACGCGTGAGAGGATTCATTATGTCTGCTTTCCATGGGCAGCATTTTCAGGGACGGTCGCTTGGGATGAAGACTGTCAAATCTCCCTCAGGACAAGAATAGTGTTCGCTGTTGCCCCAGGGACGATGAAGCACAGTTAGTCTTCTGCATAGCTTTATCCCTCTTTCTCCAAAGCCCTTCTGTCCTTATCTTACATCACAAACCCTTGCAGGAAAGGAGATATAAAAGTCAGTTTGTGAACTTACCTCTATCAGATTTGATGATTGTTTTCTTAATGACAACCAATAGAATGATAAACAATGATTTGATGGTAGCCAGATGAAATCTCAGTGTAGTCTTGACTTACATTTCACTGATATCTGTGAACACTGAATGCTAATCCTCCTGAGATAATGTCTTATTACAGGGCTCAGAAATGTCTTTTAATTTGGAGAGTAGATGAGAACCATGCTGACAGATTCAGTCTCTGTCTTCTTCAGGATTCTCCACTAGATCTCAGCTTACATCCATGTCCGTCACAAAGAACAACCAGCAGTGGGAGTGACTGAAGGACCATAGGAATCACAAATGTAGTGACGGCCACAGCCACTGGCATTGTGAAGTTCTTCAGCACAGAAGGAACCCCACAGCATTTGGTACTGTCTGCAATCTGAGCCTTTTGGTGTTGCAGGTAAGGGCTCTGTCTCTGATGTAGTCAAGACGTGTGGTCAAAAGCACACTGTTCTGTTTTGGACTCCTAGCACCGCTGGCTTCAGAGCACATTGTTCTTACATTTGTAGACACCTGGGATCATTCCTACCCTCTGGCCACAACTGACCAGAATTCCTCAGACTGAGTTTCTGATAAATTGTTAGTGTTTAATTTTGCTTTATCTGAATCTTTTTGGATTTCTACAGTCCGATGTGGACCCAGGATGAATTGGACCTCAAAACAAGGCTATCTAATACTATTTTAAGTTCCTCACATGCCTGATTTACACTGAAAGTGACACAGAAAAGCTAGTTGAAACTAATTTTTTAGAAAATGAGTACGTGGGCACTGATACAGAGAAACACTTAGGTGAAAGCATTTTCAAATTATAGCTTTATCTGCTTAAGTTCTTCTGCCTGTTTCCATGAAGCACGGTGGTGTTTATTCCACCCTCTGCTGAATCTCTTGCCGTGAGGTCCCCACACTGACAAGATGGTCTGCGGAAATGGGCTGTCTCTCTTTCTGACAGAGCGTGCATGTCAGTGAAGGCAGAGAAAAGGGACAATGAAACGAAAAGAAGAGAACGCATGTCTTGACTAATAGGAAGTGGCAGGCAGGCAGGTTCTGTGGTCCTGGTGACTTGTTAACATTAGCCCATTTGTTTCCTCCTTTTTGAAACTTTATATTTCCCATTTTATTTCTCTATTCACACATCTTCTATTAAGTGTGTGTGTGTGTGTGTGTGTGTTTCTCTGGAAGTTTTAGGACAGTGTGGTTGACAAAGCCAGTTCTAGGCCAGAGCTACATAGCGAGACTCTGTTTCAAAAAACAAATTGGTATTTGAAACCCTGTTCATAATTGGCCTTAGTTATGCATTTTTGTTTATTTTTATATTTTAAAGAATTTATATATACATTATATATATATATATATATATCGTGTCTGCCGAGTGAGTACAGGTCCCAGTGCAGACCAGAAGAGGGTGTTTGTTCTTCTGCAGTTGGAGTTTCAGGTTGTCTAGAGCTGTTTGATGTGAGTTCTGGGCCCTAAATTCAGGTCCTCTGGAAGAGCAACAAGCACTCTTAATGGCTCCCTTTTCTTCTTTTAATAGGCAAACACTGTTTCTTGCAGACAGTGTTTCTGAGGTACGACCTGTGCATTACTCTAGAGTTAAGCACAGTCCCTGATGTGTGGCGATCATTTTGACTGTGTGAATGAAATGGAGTAGAGCACATTGACTTGCCATGTCTGGTTCTTGAGGCTATATCATTTAGAAGATATGATCTGCCATAAGCATGAAGAAAAACTCAGAGTACAGGAGCAATGCTATAAAAACAGAGAAGAAATGAATCTTCCTTTTATCTTCTGGACTGTTTCCTGCCATACAACTATAAAACATGTGCAATCATACAATGTAGATGCTAACACACACACATGCACATGTACACACACACATACATACATACACACACACACACACACACACTTTATGTCATTTCTTTCTCAACTTTTTCAAACAGAAATTTCATATGAATTCAGAGTTTGGCAGTTTTCTTTCCATGTACTTCTAAGATTTTTGAGGACAGGAAAGCATCTTCCATGCTCAGACTGATGTTCTGAATCCCAGAAATGTTATAACTTGACACCTTTCCAACAACATTTTTCATTAACTCTCTCCATATATTATATAATAGAAACACAAAAATCTTCCATTAGCTAATTTTGTTTTTCTGGCTCCTCTTTCCTAAATATATTATCATTGTCTTCAAATAAAAAAAAAATCTTTTGTTCTGATCATACCAATTTCTCTTTAAGATAAAATCACATTTGACTTTTGTCACTTCAGAATTTGCCACCCTCCTAAAAAACAAGCAGTATGCTCAATTATTAGAGGGAGGTATTTAAAGAGCAAAAGAAAGCTAATGGTCTAAGAACTCAGGTAAATGAAAAAATTTCAAAGCTTCTTTAGGAATCAAACTTAAAATTTTGAAATGTAGTTTTTCTTGTGGAGCATCTCCCTCCAGGTCCTTTTCTCTTTCCTCCCACTATTCCTCAAGAATCTCTGGTATCAACCAATGTTTAGCTGTGAGCCTCAACATCTGTTTTGAGGCACTGCTGGGTAGACCCTCTCAGAGGACAACTCTGACAGGTTCCTGTCTGAAAGCTTAGCGGACTGTCCTTCATATTTTCAGGGATTGGCACTCTCCAATAGGATGGGTCTTTTTGATTGGGCCAGGCATCAGTTGGGCATTCCTTCAATCTCTGATCTATCTGCTCTATCTTTATCCAAAAGCATCTTATAAGCAGGGCCCAGAAGGGTTTTCCAAAACTGAAGCGTCCACCAAGGACCATGTATGAACTGGACCTAGGCCCCCTACAAAGATGTAACAGATGGACAGCTTAGGCTTCAAGTGGGTTGTCTAGTAAGGAAAGTGGGGACTCATGAGACATAAACTCCCTTGCTGGATTTTAGATCACTTTCCCCTAGTAGGATCGCCTTGACAAGCCACAGGGGAAGAGGACACATTCAGTCCTGAAGCAACTTGATGAGCTGGATGAGAAAGGGAGTTCCCCTTTTCTGAGGAAAAGAGGAGGTGGGAAGGGGGCGAGATAGAGGGTGGGACTGGGAGGGAAGGAACACAAGGATGTAAGGTGAATAAAACAAATGAGAAAAAAAGAAACAGGAATTAAATAAAATTTAAAAAATTGAATTATAACCACAAGTAGACTTTGACCAGAAACAGCATTTAAGTCAATGCTTGTGTATCTGTGAATGTGGAGATAGACATGCTTACATGCAGATATTTGTCTATAAGTATTGTATTGCTACATTTAAAAATTATCTATAATTTTCAATTTTCAAAGTTCTTTTAACCCATGTTATTCATATTATAGGTGTGTCAAGATTGACTAAAAACATTCTGATATTCACAATCCAGACCATTAACTTAGCTAATGAAGGAAAAATGCATTATAAAGTACTCCTGTTGACGACTCCACAGTGACCTGCAATAACTCTAAGTGGTGTGAACTCCTTTAGAAAGGCTTCCACTAAGAATATATTTATTTCTAGCCAACCAAAGAGACCGCACAGAATGGAACTCTGGAACTCCACCTTGGGAAGCGGCTTCATCTTGGTGGGGATTCTGGATGGCAGTGGCTCTCCGGAACTGCTCTGTGCCACATTCACCGCCCTGTACATGCTGGCTATGACCAGCAATGGACTGCTGCTCCTGGTCATCACCATGGATGCCCGGCTTCATGTGCCCATGTACTTCCTGCTTGGGCAGCTCTCTCTCATGGATCTTCTCTTCACTTCAGTTGTCACGCCCAAGGCAGTCATAGATTTTTTGCTCAGAGACAACACCATCTCCTTTGAGGGCTGTGCCCTGCAGATGTTCCTGGCACTGACGCTGGGAGGGGCAGAGGACCTCCTTCTGGCCTTCATGGCCTATGACAGGTATGTGGCCATTTGCCATCCTCTGAACTACATGATCTTCATGAGGCCAACTATCTGCTGGCTCATGGTGGCTTCATCGTGGATCCTGGCAGCCCTGATGGCTCTAGGATACACCACCTACACCATGCAGTATTCCTTCTGCAAATCCCGGAAGATCAAACACCTGCTCTGTGAGATCCCTCCACTGCTGAAGCTGGCCTGCGCAGACACCTCCACGTATGAGCTCATGGTTTATGTGATGGGTGTGACCTTCCTTATTCCCCCTCTTGCTGCCATCCTGGCTTCCTACTCACTAATTCTGTTCACTGTGCTCCACATGCCCTCAAATGAGGGCAGAAGGAAAGCCCTGGTCACCTGTTCCTCCCACCTGACTGTGGTGGGGATGTTCTATGGGGCTGCCACATTCATGTATGTCCTGCCCAGTTCATTTCACAGCCCCAGGCAAGACAACATCATTTCTGTGTTTTATACAATAGTCACCCCAGCCCTGAATCCCCTCATCTACAGCCTGAGGAACAAGGAGGTCACTGGGGCTTTAATAAGGGTTCTGGGAAGATATATTCTTCGAGCACACCCTGCTCTCTAGGAAGGGATGACTTTTATTATTCCTTCTCCAAACAATTTTATATCAGCAACTCTTTAATGTTACAGTCTGACTGGGAGGATACACACGACAGAGCTTCATTTTCTTCTATGCAACTGCTGTGAGTAGAAACCTTGAGCTGAACTCGTCTGGTACATACCACCATAGTCTTAGAAGCCCCACATCAGAAAAAGGGGCTTAGGGAATAAAAAGCTTTGAAGAGCTCTACTGGAGGCTCACTTCATGGCTGGGCACCATCCCAACGCATTACCAAGTAGACATGGTCAAGAGTCACATAACGGTGAGACATAGCATTCATTCTGGCCCAAGAAATCTCCAGTAGCCTCTATTTTCACTTGATCTGCATTTATATTAATAAAGTGAAGATGCAATAAAGATAGTTCGTACTTCTTTGGAAGAATGAAGTTGGTGAGGGAAAAGGTGTGTGTGTGTGTGTGTGTGTGTGTGTGTGTGTGTGTGTGTGTGTG